AAATTCTCAAATAGCTAACACAAATATTAATTTTAAAAAAGTGATTTATAAGCTGGACAAGGCACTTGGGAGGTGGAGGTCAGAAGATCAATAGTTATTGATCACCCTGAGTTACTTCCAAGGCCAGCCTGGGATACATGAGACCTTGTCTAAAAAAAATGCCTGAAGAAATCAAGTGTATTATTTATTGTTTTTCTACACTGATAAAACATTGTGCCTGAGGCAAGGAGGAAGGGTTCGTTTTGGACTTACAGTTTCTTTTTTCTTTTCTTTTTTTTTTTTTTTTTTTTGGTTTTTCGAGACAGGGTTTCTCTGTGTACCCCTGGCTGTCCTGGAACTCACTCTGTAGACCAGGCTGGCTTCGAACTCAGAAATCCGCTGGGATTGAAGGCGTGCACCACCACCGCCCGGCTGGATTTACAGTTTCTAAGGGATGAGTCCAGCACCATTATGTCAAGAAGTATGGCAGCAGGTGGGCGTGGCAGCAGATGGGCGTGGCAACTGGAGCAGAGATAGAAAACTGGGACTGGTGCGTGGCTCTGAAACTTCAAAGCCCACCTGACTGATGGACCTCCTCCAGCAAAGCCACCGCTCCTAATCCTACCCAAACAGTGCCTCCAACTGAGGACCGAGGATTCAAATGCCCAAGACTGAGAGGGACATGGAATTCAAACCACCACACCAGGAATCTCCAAAGGCCTTTTAAGTCGCTACAAAGACAAAACACATTTTATAATAATGATAGGATACAATGCATCTCACCGCATTGATGTTTATTCTTTAATACGAGAGAGAGGGGGATGGGGAAAGGGAGACTGAGAAATACTTTTGTAGCCCACCATGGTGGTGCATGCCTATAATCTCAATACTTGGGAGGAAAATCACCAATTCATATTCATATTATCTTCCTTGAGATAAAATGTTTAATGTTTTCCTGATACATACCAAAGTTTCTCTCAGTGAAACAGATGCTTGTGATCGAATGGTTAGGGAAACCACTTTTTACTTGCCATCCATTCATACATAAAGGAAAGATAGCCAAGCTTTATATAGCTCTGGCTGGCCTAGGCTTCACATGTAGACCAGGCTAGCCTCGTAATCAGAGAGATTTGCCTGTCTCTGCCTCCTAAATGCTGAGATTAAAGCTATGCACCACCATGCTTGGCTTTATATATACATTTTTGTAAGGGAACAAAAGTTTATTTTAATTTTGAGAGGTTATAGTACATCTGGGTCAGGAAGGTTGAGAGGCAGATGGCTCCCTCCATGTTAACAGGAATGTACAGCTGGGATTATTCAACTCTTCATATATCAGAATAATGAGAAGCAGAGAAAAAAGAGCTAAACATGGTGGTTTAGGCCTGTAATTCTAGCAATTGGGAGGCTGAAGCTGGTGGATTGCTATGAGTCCACAAGGAGCCTGGGTTATAGAGTAAGATTCTAACTCGAAACAAAGAAACAAAAACCAAAACAGGACATAAAAATAGGCTCAGTTATATTTCTGTAAGAAAACAGGTAAAGAACAGTTTCAAGGTTTCTGGGGTGGCCTGAGCATCTAGGAGCTGAACTCCTTGCCAGGTGGCCATCTCTGCAGGCAGGCTACAGCATGGCAGCTTGCTTCTTCCAGGTCAATGTGAAAGGAAGAGTCTGCTGGTGAGATGGACTCTTATGTAATGTGACCGTCTGTCACACGGCCAGGTGCCGTGATGCAACCACAGGACTGAAGTCTTACCACCTGGGTCCTAGTCAGTCAACTGAGATTCCACCCAGACTCAGGGAGAGGACCCTAAAGAAAGACCTTAGTCCCCCCAAACAAGGGACCACCACTGAGAGTTATCTCAGAGGTTGTCTTTCACATGTACTGATAGAGGAATGAAACCAAGGAACAAATGTTCCTCTGTTCTCTATTCATGCAGGCAATTCTTGGTGCATTCTACTACATTCGTCATGTATTTATTCATTCTGCCTACTGGGGTGGAGCAGTCTCTCTGTGTGTATGTCTGGGTGTGTATATGTTGTATACATATGTATGTAAGTGTGTGCAGGTGTGCACACCTGTGGAGGCCAAAGGTTGACATCAGGAGTCTTCCTTTACTGCTCTTCATCTTGTTTAGACAGGGTTATATCACTGAACCTGGGGCCCGTGGATTGGCTAAACTGACTGGCCAGGAGGCCTTGGGATCCTTCTGTCTCTGTCCTTCAGCCCTGGGATTGCACACACACACACACACACACACACACACACACACACATCACATCACAATTCCTGTCCTTTTACTTGGATTCTGAGGATATGAACTGAGGTCCTCGTGCTTGCACAGAAAGCACTTAGTCTGCCTTTCTATCCAGCTCAGATCTCTAAATACTTGATTGAGCTAGGTTGTTGAGTAGAACTCAAGTGGTTTACACTGTAGGGAGAGAACTTTACCAAGTTTGGCACCCATTAGGCAGCTCTTGGTGGTTGAAAAAAGGGTAGCAATAGTACTGAACATAGAAAACTATTAAAGAGTGTTTATCACAAACCACAAACGCTTATAATCCCAGCACATGAGGCGTGGAGACAGGAGGCCATTCTTAAACTACGTGAGTTCGGTGCCAGCCCAGGGTTCATGAGATTGTGTCCCCCAAAAAAATAACAACAAAAGGAAAAGAACACTACCATTAAAAATACCACTTTCCTCAGTTATCTGTTGTGTTGGCTGGTTTCATGTCAACTTGACACCAGTTAAAGCCATCTGAGAGGAGGAACCTCAGTTGAGAAGATGCCTTCAGAAGATGAGGGTGTTCACACACCTGTAGGGCATTTTCTTAATTAGTGATTGATGGGGCAGGGCCCAGACCACTGTGGGTGGTACCATCCCTGGGCTGGTGGTCCAGGGTTCTGTAAGAAAGTAGGCAGAGCAAGCCATGAGGAGCGAGTCAGTAAGCAGCACCCCTCCATGGCCTCTGCATCAGCTCCTGCCTCCAGGTTCCTACCCTGTTGAGTTCCCTCACTGCTTTTGATGATGAGTTGTCATACGGAACTGTGAGCAAAATAAACCCTTTCCTCCCCAAGTTGCTTTTGGTCATAGTGTTTCATCCCAGCAACAGAAAGCTTAACTAAGACATCTGTGCTTCCAAGATGCTTCCCCGCTCAAGTGTTTGGGTAACTATGACTTTCTCTGGCTGAGTTATTTATCAGACCACAAAGTTGAAATGATCGGATGCTAAGGTGCTACACTTAGAGGTTAGGATTAGGAAGACAGCATGACGTTTGGAGAAAAGGGTTGTGAGAATGGAAATCCAGCAGGGTGCTTAAGGCATGAGAGTCAGCTGGACACCATGTCAAACAGGTGAGTGGTACTAATGTTTCAGAAATGTCCCCTGGAGCTCAACACTGGCTTCTTGATCAGAGCTCTCACTTTCTTTCCTCAGAGTTGACACGGTGCTCTCCAAAATGGCTGAAGACAGGTGGTGACCACTGGACAGGTGACGGGCCCAGTCTCAACTAAATGTTTGCACACCATTTCACAACATCCGCATGAGATCAGATACTATTATTAGTTTCCCAAAGCCCAAGGCAACTATCAGCCCAGTTAGGATGCTGAGTAACCTGCCCCAAGTCACGCAGCTAGTAAATGACAGAGCTAAGATTCAGGCTTATGACCGATGACTCAGAAGCCCGAGCTTTTAACCACAGCTTTACACCCACTGCCTTGGGAGGGAGGGGTGTCACAGTGGGAAAGCCTGGTTGCTGATATAGACACATATATTATATATAATAAATATGTGTGTGTGCTGAAAGCATGTAAGTGAGTATTTATATTTCAATTACTCGGTAGCCCAGGCTAGACTAGGGCTGGAAGGAGGGTCAGAAGTTCAAGGCCATCCTCTCTCTGTGACATAGCAAGTTTGGGGGTCAACTTGATGTACATGGGGCTCTGTCTCTAAGCAACAGCGACAAAAACAACAATAACAACACATATAGACATACACATTTTTAAACATAGAGAAAGAGGAACTCTTATTTACTGATGGTGAGAGCACAGGTAATACAGTCATTATAGAAATCAATTTGGAGATTTCTTCAGCATAAAACCATAACTACCATATGGCGGAATTGCTCTAATCCTGGTGTATCACTCAGAGAATTATGTATCTTGCTGTAAACACACTTGTCTATCCATCTTTGTTACTGCTCTACTTATGACAGTAGGGAATGGAAGCAAGCTACATGTATCTAGATGTCTATCAATAGATGAATGAATAACGAAAACCTGGTGTGTGTGTGTGTGTGTGTGTGTGTGTGTAATACTCACCTCTAAAGAAAAATGAAATCACAGAGTCTGAAGGAAATTCAATGGACCTAGACTATATAATGAACCCACATGTTCTCTTTGAAACATGTGTGTGTGTGTGTGTGTGTGTGTGTGTGTGTGTGTGTGTGTGGTGACTGACAGTTTGGATATAGGACAATGGTTCTCAACCTTCCTCATGCTGTGACCCTTTAATATAGTTCCTCATGTTGTGGTGACTCCAACCATAACATTTCATTGCTACTTCATAACTGTAATTTTGCTACTGTTATGAGTCATAATGTAAATATCTGTGTTTTCTGATGGTCTTAGGTGACCCCTGGGAAGGACTTATTTGACTCCCGGGTTGAGAACCACTGATACAGAATAACATGTGGAAAGGAGACCAAGAAAGGGCAATATTAGGTGAGGAAAACAGAAAAGGCACTCGAGAGAGGATAGAAAGCTACTGTTTCTAGTTTCAGCTCTGACATTGGTTTTTCTTTTTTGGTGGGCCAGTATGTAAAATGTAACTAAACTGATCAAGAGCATGGCAAACCCTCAATGAAGATCCTCTGCTTCCAAATGGCCGTCCTACTGTACAGAAGTTCACTGGGATAGAGTTTTGACTGGGCAAGTGGTGGGTTGAGTAGCTGCCTTGATCTGGCTGTGTGACATTTTTATTTGTGATGTTTTTACTCATTACAACAAAGTGATTTGTATTATAAAAATAAGGAATGCTTCACAAATTTGCATGTATTTTTTGTTCAAGGGCCAAGCTAATCTTCTATTGTCTTAATTTTAACATATATGATATCAAAGTGAGCACCCAACGTTGTTTCTGTTTATGTGTTTAGTCTGTTTTTCTTAATATGTATTTTTATTTTGTGTACTGCTCTTTGGCCTGCATGGATGTCTGTGTACCATGTGCTTGCCTGATACCCACAAAGGCAAAGGAGGACATCACATCCCTCTAGATCTGGAATTAGAGATGGTTGTGAGCTACCTCGTGGGTTCTGGGAATCGAACCCAGGTCTTGAAGAAGAGCAGCCATCTTTCCATTCCCTCAACATAACAATGTTTTTTTGGTTTTTTTTGTTGTTGTTATTGTTTTGTTTTTTGAGACAGGGTTTCTCTGTGTAGCCCTGGCTGTCCTGGAACTCACTCTGTAGACCAGGCTGGCCTCAAACTGAGAAATCCACCTGCCTCTGCCTCCCAAGTGCTGGGATTAAAGGCGTGCGCCACCACTACCTGGCTAACATAACAATTTTTAAAAGGCAAGTATGTCTCTTCAGAAGTTTGACTTTATTAGATACAATCAATCTATTAGGGCTTTTAAAAAAGAAATTCTGTAATTATATAGCCAGCAGGGGGCAACTAAATACTTGGAAAAAGCATCCTGTGTAGGAAAAAATTAAAGTTGGGATCGCCTGATGGCATTGCTCTGTGTGAGACAGCCGACTGCCTTTGGAGAGTAATTAACACCTACTCACGTACTCACACTTTGAATTTGTGAAAATAATTGAGCACACTTAAACAGACGGATTGTAAAACCACATTCTAAGGCCTGTCTGTGCTAGACTGCTTGGGCTGGGTTTTATTCATGTGTGTATATCTTGCTTTTATTTTATTTTAATTATAAAAACAGGTACAAGAATCTCAAGAAACGATAACTATAAGACAAATTAGAATCATGATGAGTTATTAAATCCATTTCTATTCACAAATACAAAAGTTCTGGAAGTGAAGCATCATCCGATGTGAGACACATCATAGATATCGAAGTCCATATGCACACACCTGTACCCATAGCCCATGTGTGTACATGTATACACATGCTCCTGAAGATGGCCGGCTTGAGGCAGTCTGAATGGGAGCCTGCCAGAGCTCTCTTTCTCATAGTTATATTTGGTTCAGGACATTTAAAGATGGGAAGAAAATGGATTCAAGTGCACTTCTACCAAGGACTTGTCCTCCTACTATGGTACCCAGTCACTACACAGTGGGAAAACTTCATTAGCCCATTTCCAGATATGGCAGCAGTGAGAAACTCAGCTAGTTCTTCTGCTCCTGCTCCTGCTTCTGCTTCTGCTTCCTCCTCCTCCTCTTCCTCTTCTTCCTCCTCCTCCTCTTCTTCTTCCTCTTCTTCTCTTCCTCTTCCTCCACTTCCTCCTCCTCCTTCTCTCCTCTTCCTCTTCCCCCCCCTCCCCCCCCCCCCTCCTCCTCCTCCTCTTCCTCCTCCTCCCCTTCTAGCCATTTGTTTTTACCTAGCTACTTATTTGAGCATAAAATGGCCCAGGAACCAAATTGTGCCTTTATACTTTATACCGATTGTTATAAAATGCCACTCATTCTTCAAAAGTTACTAAAGGAGACACTTTCTGTAACAAAAGGGAGGAGAGTTAAGTTAAAAATTTTTGTTGCTTGTCCAACATACAAGTATACAATCTATATGTCATGTGACCATTCAGCCATCATTGAAATATGACCTCCGGTTTGGCCCTTCTTAGCCCTTCAGAAACCCAGAGGTGCGCTCTCCTGTGTCATCTGCTCTATACCTTTCTCTGTTTGGCCTCAGTTAGCATGCTGAAGGCAGGTTAATCCTTTACAGAAAAAGGAGTCAAGGTACTTCTCTCCCGCAGTGACCATGTCCTTCAGGTGACCCACCGATTCAGGGAGCCAAGACCTCTGCCATCAGGGCAGAGCTTACGGAGACAGCTGAACTCTCAGCACTTGGGGAGCCGACAACAACGATGGAGTCTCACATTCACACATTCAATTTGTGAAAGTAAGTGAAGTTCTCTTCTAAGAAGACAGACTTGGGCTGGGCAGTGGTGGCGCACGCCTTTAATCCCAGCACTTGGGAGGCAGAGGCAGGCAGATTTCTGAGTTCGAGGCCAGCCTGGTCTACAGAGTGAGTTCCAGGACAGCCAGGGCTACACAGAGAAACCCTGTCTCGAAAAACAAAACAAAACAAAAACAAAACAAAACAAAACAAAAAAGACAGACTTACAAAAGCACATTCTAAGGCCTATCAGTACTAGACTGCTTGGGTTGGGCTTTCAGTATTGTGTGTATTTATAATGGATTAGTTTTTTTCCAAACTTCCTATATTGTAGAAATAATAAAGATCAACTTGTTTCTGTAGAGTACTCTAGGATTGTTCTGCTTTTCACTACATATTCTAAGGTTAAAGAAAATGGGGCTAGTCTGGCAGTAGTGGCACACACCTTTAACCCCAGTGTTACCGTTTTGTCTAGGCTCTACCCCACAGTTACCTGGCAACAGCCAGGTGTGTCTGACTCACTATAAAAGGGGCTACTTGACCCCTCCTCACTTCTCTTCTCTTGTTCTCTTACCCTTTCCCCATTCCCCTCCCCCCTCTCCGAGTGCTCATGGCTGGCCGGCCTCTATTCCTCTTCTCCTCCTCTTCCTCCTCCTCTTCCCCCTCTTCCTCCTCTTCCTCCTCTTCCTCCTCTTCCTCCTCTTCCTCCTCTTCCTCCTCTTCCTCCTCCTTCTCCTCTCTCTCTCTCTCTCTCTCTCTCTCTCTCTCTCTCTCTCTCTCTCCCTTGTTTCTTCCCCTCTTTCAATAAAGAACCTCTTTTGTTGGAACTGTGCTGGCTCAGTGTGATCTGTCCAGGAACAAGTCATTTTCAACTAACATCCAGTACTTGGGAGGCAAGGGCAGGCAGATCTCTGTGAGTTCGAAGCCAGCCTGGTTTATAGAATGAGTTCCAGGACAGACAGGGATATATAGAGAAACCTGTTTCAATAAAACAAAACAAACAAACAAAATGAAGAAGAAGAGGAGGAGGAGGAGGAGGAAAGAAGAAGAAGAAGGAGAAGGAGAAGAAGAAGAAGAAGAAAATGGAGATGCTATTGCTGCAAATAGTACTGACTTCATACTTCTTACAGGTATGAAAGGAAACCATACTGTGCTAGCAATGTAGGAGGCTCTGGCCTTAATCCACAGCACCACAGAAACAAAATAACTCCGTGCCTCAAGTTTTCAATTTTGATCTTTTGCTGAGCCAGTGATGTGTAACACAGTATGGGCTGGTCTTGCACTGTGGGGGTACATAACAAAAACTCTCCGTACACTGCCAAGCAATAATGACCAGAAGGTTAGGCATATTAAATATACTTTCAACTTAAAGTATATTCAATTTCTCTCTACCTGGAAATAACACTACTGTATTTGCTTCAGGGCTAGAGAAATAGCTTCAAGGTGAACAGCACTTGGTGCATTTAGAGAAGACTGAAGTTCAGTTCACCCACAACAGGGGGCTCACAACTGCTTGTAAAAATAAATCTTAGAGAGAAAAAAAAGGAAGAATCTAAATCAGTTCTTTTCCTTCTTTGAGGAGGCTGTTTTCTGTCCTTATTAACATATGTTAATCACACATAGCAATGAGCTTCATGTTGACATTTTTGTACATGTCCATAATGCAATTCGATCATATACGACCTATTATTACCCTTTTTCCCTCCCATAATGCCCACTGATCTCCTTCCTCTTTCAACTTTCATGCCCCAAAGTTTTCCCCATTGCCCAGTGAGTTACTTGAAGGGTTGCTCACAGGTGCACTGGTGAGGGCATGTTTACTGTAGTGTGGAAGAGAATAGTTCTATCTTGGCAACCATTAACTACCTCTGGGGGTAGGGGGGCGGGGAGATGGGAACTTGCAAGCTCCTCTTCTCTCATGGCCCAGTCATGTGCAGGTTTTATATAGGTAATCACAGTGACATATGCCTTTGATCCAAGCACACAGGAGCAGAGGCAAGTGGATCTCTGTGCTAGTCTACAGAGACGGTTCCAATGAGTTCCAAAGCAAAGGAAGGGAAAAGGGAAAAGGGAAAAGGGAGAAGGGAGAAGGGAGAAGAAGGGAGAAGAAGGGAGAAGAAGGGAGAAGAAGGGAGAAGAAGGGAGAAGAAGGGAGAAGAAGGGAGAAGAAGGGAGAAGAAGGGAGAAGAAGGGAGAAGAAGGGAGAAGAAGGGAGAAGGGAGGAGAAGGGAGAAGGGAGGAGAAGGGAGAAGGGAGAAGGGAGAAGGGAGAAAAGGGAGAAGGGAGAGGGAGAAGAAGGGAGAAGAAGGGAGAAGAAGGGAGAAGAAGGGAGA